ATAACATGTTATAATCATTAGGAGCATTTGTGCATGGAGATATGAGGTGTTGGTAGTACTCATCCAGTCAGTTGGAAGTCATACTAAACTTATCTCAGATCCAACTCTACATGATACATGTGAAGTGTATCAGACCATACCCTGGGTGTCCATGGTGTTTGAAGTTTCATCATGCTGCTCTTAGATTCCTATGTCATTATTTCTCTGCTAGAGATAAACTGCTGCAGGAAGATGCCACATTCTTGTTTAGATTCTGCAGCAATACACATTTGATTTTGTAATTTGATGAGTTTATGATTAGTGATAATGGATTGCAATGTTTGATTTGTTTTCCTCGTTAGGCTCAGTTGTTATATCAACCTGCAACACTGTGTAAAATACATCACTTATCATGGTAAGATGAAAAAGAGAAAAAATCAGTTATTTCTTCGATTTGTCATTCTCTTCAATATTTACCTTGGAGCGTCTCTAGTGTAGAAATTGATATGAGTTACCATTGGACAAAACGTAAAAGATTTATTCATTACCTACAGGTAGAGGAATACTTCTGAGTATGTGAATAACCTCATCTTAAATTCGGTCATATTCGGTTTCCACCCACATTTCAGATTCCCAATCTGTACCTATTTGCAAGCGTTTTGTATTTGAATGTCTTGAATTAAATTCAAATGTCTTATCGTGTCTATCATAATACATCGGATTACGATGAACTTTGGAAAAATAGTTTTCTTAGTGAATGTCATGACTTGATATGTTAGGTATTTTAACAGTAGGTTTCCCAAGCTTTTTGCTGAAATATCTGAATAGATATAAGATAGAACACTATGCTTGGAATGACCCTACATCAAACTAGCCAAAGTGTTCAATTAAAGGTCTCGATTTTATCTTAGGATCATAATTGCTAAGAGGGGTTCACTAAGGACCCTAAGGCAAACTAATATTAAGTCAATATATATATTTTATGGAATTTTTTACACTCTCCCCATGTTTGGAAAATGTTTTTTAATAATTTAATTTCATTATTGCTGTGTCCCCTCAACATAATATTTTGGTCCTAAAATGGTTTGGCAACTGTTTGCATAACAGTACTGATGCTATGCTAAGTTAATCAATGCTAATGCTTCCCATATTTTCAGTTCCTAACCTTGATTAAAATAGATGTGCAATATGGTAATATAGAAGATACATCACACTCAGTAAATATCTGTCTGTACCACCACCTGTCTAGGAATACATTATGTACACTTATCCTACCAACCTGTACTAGTTCCCATATATATATTTTATGAGGATAAAAATGAAAAATTAAACAAATGGCAAATGGAAATGCCATTAGAAACTAAATTAAAGTTTTCATTGCTTATCTGCTTTATATAATTGAATATCATTGAGTAACATGCTATTAAACTGATCAGAATAAAATTATAGTAGACAGTAAAGTTTTGCAAACCTGTATATTCTACCCTATATACATGTATGGTCATTGGGTTACATAGTTTAAAATCATTCTTTTCTGCACATTTCCTTAAAACAAGCGATCAACACTTTCCATTCTGATACTTCTATCATCTGAATCTTTTTTTTTGCTGAGCAGGTTTCTGTTAAAAATGCCTTGGATGATGCCATCAGCATATTCTACATCAAATAAGAGTTTTGAAGCACTTGTCTGTATATAAGTCAGAAACATCATGATAACATTAGATATGTGATGTGCAAAAATGTTTAGGAATGTTATCTTTGTCTTGATAGACAAAGATAACTTCATGCAGTCATATGTCAGAATGATAAGAGTGAAATAAACCATATTTGGAAAAATGTCATTTATAAATAACTGGGTAAGATTGAATAAAGTAAGTGTACAGTAATAAAAGTTCCATGAATTTTACAGAGGGGTCTTCACTGTATAGGTCAGCTAATTTTTAATATGTAGTTTAATTTGGAAGTATATGTAGTATTCACTGCACTCTTTATGTCCAGATATTATATGACAGCATAAGGTGTGTTAATTATGAACCAGTGTAGCCCTCAGGTATAATAAATACTTCCATCCAGGTGCTTCAAACTTAGTGACTTAAAATGACTTTTGAATGGTACCAAGTGATCTTAACTTGATTAAATTATGATCTTATCTCTTTTAATACCTGTATACACTTTAAAAGTGTCAGCTTCCCCCAATAATTTAACTTTACTCTCCATTATTGCTAAAAATAGGCTTTAATTGATGTAAAATTGTGATTTTTGTAAAAATGATTAAAATGAGTGGTAAGTCTAATATAAAAAGCAAATGTTTTTAAGAGTGATAAATGTGGATTATAGAGAAACTTGTATCTGATTTTAAGAATCCAATTCAATGGAATTGAAGGAACGTGAAAGCTTATATACTCTTTCTTTATTTATAACAGACCTTCTCAATACAATGATCTGCTCTGTATGATGCTCTGTTGATTGAAATATGTCATTTCTCCTATGTTCAAAGAGAGGCCAAACATAGGGTCATTGAATGTTTGATTATTTTATTGAAAAAATCAAATGGAGAATTTAATTCAGTAACAGTGAATCATTGTAGCTGGTACCTGATCAAAACAAATATTTAAATAATGTTTCTACAACTATCATAATGAATGCCTTACCATAATGGATAGGCGGTCATTGTCCTATCTGTGGAAATAAAAACTGTGTTATAGAGTTAATCTACTAGGTCAGCTATCATCTTCCAGCCCATGTCAACAATGATATATTTATAAAAAATATTTCAAACCAACAAAATATATTTGTAGATTTTAGCTAGAATAATTGAATTTCCTGAGATAATTTCCAGAGTTTGTATATTCATTACACTCGGCTGAGTCAGACCGACCCTTAGACAAAATATCCTGAATATTTAGATTACTTTACTCCTACTATACTTTATCAGCATTCGAACTTCTCATATTTTGAAAATAATTTTTTGTCAATGAATCAAATATTTTCCAGAATTGATAGTGTTAAAACAGTTTTTAAGTACAGTTATCTTTGAGATGGTACCAGGTGGGACATTTTAAACTCTACAATGTTTTTTTTATAGATATGAGTTAATGGTCCAAGTTGAAACTTTTCTTAAAATACATCAGAGATTTATAATTCTGTATCAGTGAAGGTATTCTCTTATCTAAGGTTAAGTCTTGCTAAATCACAATTGAGATTAGCCAAGATATATTGAGGAACCCCAGTCTTTGAAGAGCTCTTATATCTTTGTTTGCTGACCAATTGATAGTAGTATACTTGATTATGAGGCGCTGTGTTCTATGAACATTAGGCAATACTTTCAAGTTTCAAATAAGAATTATTGCCATGCCCTTATCCTCCAACTGCTACCATAAAGTTATACTACTCCAACAGTCACTTATTTCTGAACAGCCACATGTTTAATATCATGATATTATGATATTATATTGTGATATTAATATCATAATATGGTCAAATGGTTAAAAAGGGCCAATGTGAAAAATTCTGACAAATTATTTTGATTTAGCTAATTTTATTTTATTGATTGACTCATGAGCATGTCTGTGTCTCCAACTTATCTTATTTTCATTGTGTGTTTGTAGATCTCTGATGTAGTAGTGCCTGGTGAAACAGAGATCACACCTAAAGATGCCCTCCTACACTGGAGCAGACGAACAGTTGAAGGCTATCCTAATGTACAAATTAAAGATTTTTCAAAAAGCTGGCGAGATGGCCGAGCATTCCTTTCTATTATTCACAGACACAGGTAAGAGTGCCATCTTTTAATGAGATATCTTGTAGTCAGATGGAGTGTAGGGATTATGTACTGTTGATCTGGGTTTAATTAATTTGTCATATATTTATTTCACATGTAACTTATTATTGTACAAAGTACTAGTGTTATTCATGTGGAACTTCAATTATTATGGGATAAATTGGGTATCAAACCTTATATTTTGGATTATTCTTTATCTGAATCAGAATATTTTTAACTTTATTAGTTAGACCCAAGTCAGGGTCTACGTCAGGTAAACGTTTGGTCAATTTGATAAATTATTTGTAAAAAATTAAATTAAAAAGTTGAAGAAGAAACCAATTGTTAATGAAAAGCCAAGAGATCATTAATGAGCTAAACTTAACTTATCCCTACAAATCAGGAACTTTGCTTATCACTGATTTACAATATTAACTTATCTTATGGTTATTTGATAACTTATTTATTGTATTTGTTCAAACCTAAAGCTTTTAATATTCCCATCACAAAGGACCCTCCACTTGTTTTAATAGTCCTTGAATTTCTTGGTTAAATAAACACTCTACTAAACAACTACTAAACCTTTTATCTGTGTGTTGTATTTTGATGTGTCATGATTTGTCTTCACCTGGGCTGACCTTATTGTCTTAGAGTATAGAGTAACCGAAAACTTCCGTGACAAGTGGGACAATGTTTCTACATGTTTACCAATGAAAGCAGTATACAAGCCTACATTTTTAAGAGGCCAACTTCATTTGCTC